CCTGTAACTGATCATGGACTTTATTTCACAAAGTAGGAACATCGTGTGTCTCTTTGATAGTTTGTATAGCATGTGTCGTAAGCCATTTCGTAAAAACTTAGGACATGGCTAAGGAATTGATAGAAGGTAATCACTGCATGGAAAAATAGAAAGCAACTGCTGCAACAGTATCGGTCTGACGTCATAGAACGAATGCGATAACATCTGCTCGGTCATAAATAACAACCGATGCGTAGGCACGCAGTCAGTCTGCTGGAAGTCCTGAGCGAGATGGTAGGACGGAAGGGGATCGCTTTTATTTCCTCGACACATGAGAGCGTGCGTGTGTGTGCATGTGTGGGTTGGAAGAGTCCCATGGGGATGGATCGTGTCTATGGCACTGAACGTAATTTCCCGAGGTGTGAGAAATTTTTTTCGGGTTGCTGACTTTTCCCGGTGGCGGCGAGGGGCCTTTCGTTATGGACGAGTACTGGTCTGAGTTCCCCATTCGGACCTTGGTTTACTGATACCAATTGGGAAAGCTTTTATTCGCATTATACTTTGTAAAATGGTCTTCATTCGTCTGCGGTATAGTGGATCCATTTGTAAATCATTTCTACAGACACTCCACAGCAGTTCATAAGGCGATCGTCGAAGAGTCGCAGAAGCGGCTGCGGCAGCGACCGCGTCACTTAGGAATTGTTGGTGGCGATCAGCTGTTTCCAGCCTGTTTAGCCATTTTCTCCCTAATTTTCACTGTAATTCCTACTTTTTTTCAAGATAATTTGTCTTTGTGAAGTATGCTAGGACCTAGAATCCTTTTGTTTTTTTGATAGGTTTCTGCAATTTTTTATTTATTTGTTGGAATGTTTGTTTACGTTCGGAAAAATTAGAGAAATCTCAATCATGCTTCACTTTATGAAGACAAGGAACAACTAACCTCGAGAAAAGCAGCTAAAAACAGTGAAAAGAAGGGAGAAAATGACTAAACAGGCGAGAAACAGCTGATCGCCGCCCCGATTACGCTAGCGTAATGCTAGAGTATTCAAACGTACGCTAGCATAGCGAGGGCAAGGACAAGGAAAGCATAGGTATCGATTCACCGTTTTCAGGTATATATGTATACTATGTATGTTACATGTAGCATATAGGGTTTGGGTTTACATAGGGGGTTAGGTTTTCTCTAGGAGGTTTGGCGATCTAGGCTCCGCCCTCTTGAACGCGCTCACTTGCTTTTTTGCAGAATTCTGATATTTTTTTGAAATTTTTGCGTTTTTTGCTCGCTCGTGAAGGCCGTCATCCACTGTCGGTAGGCCCGCCCGCGCAAGAAGGCGCCAATTTTAAGAGGAAATGTGCAAATCGTAGTATGCGACGTCTTGCTTGCCATGCTAGGGTCCTCGTTCCGGTACTCGGAACATATAAATCAGGCAAAGTTTTCAATCAAGGGGGGCAGAGCCTAGATCGCCATGCCCTTTAGAGAAACCCAAACCCTATGTGAACTCAAACTCGATATATTACATTTAACATACATATACATATATACCAGAACGCTGAATCGATATTTATGCTTTCCTTGCCCTCGCTACGCTCGCGTACGCCAGCGTAACGCTAGAGTATTCTATGTAAAAAAAGCGTATGCCAGCGTACGCTAGAACTCTACTATGCTACAGCTGGTGACGCTAGATCCCGCTGGGGATAATTCCCCCATCCTTGCCACTGCCGAACGCTGGAAACGCTAGCGTACGCTGGCGTACGCTGCCGCAAAGTATAAACGCAGCCTAAAGGAATCAGGGATATGATACCGAGTGGAATATTTCCCCAGACGACAAAGCTCCGTATATCCCAAAAATCCCAGTTGGCTGAATTTACAGATTCTTCTAAGAGAAGGAAAGCGTCAAACATACAGGGGGCGGGGAAGCCAAAAAGCCACTCTCGATAGATCACACTGTACAGAGAAGTTTCGCTGGGCCAGAAGACAGAGTGGATAGCGGGTACAGGCGCGAAACGATAGACAAGACGTGTTTCGCTCGAATAAGCAGGAGCCTGGCTCTCGCCTATCACCTTCATGTACACCAAAATATGAAGTCATCTCCAGTCGCAGCCTGACTGGAGAAGACCTTTGGAATTCATGTCACCTCCAAACAGCTGCGAAACTTCTAGGTGGAGTCACCCATACCTGGAGACCAGTACTCTCGATCTGGATGACCTCCAACATCGAGCAGCTCCGACAAGCCACGGTCTAGGACATCATCTTCACCACAGTCGCCAAGGCGCGGGTTGATGGTATGGACCGGAACCTGGAATGGAAAGACCAATATTTTCTTCGTGGACCCCGGACTGAAGGTGAGCGCTGGCGGTTACATCGAGCAACTCGTGAAGAATATCCTCCTCACATGTCGTCGCCCGTACCTTCTTGGAAACTTTGTACTGCTACAGCATTGGGTGCCACCACATGGAATCGAAGTAAACATTGAAGCAGTTCTCAATAGGGTGGTCTACGGTGGCGGAGAAATCGACTATCTCGCTGATCTCAGGCACCACATCGCGGTCGCGTGCCAGAATCTCTCGATGGCGCTCGTCCAGAAGGCTGTGGCGGAGTGTCATGATAGTATTTCAAAATGTCCGATCAGAATTTAATAAAACGTAACTTGAAATTCCATGAAAAGGGACTTTTTTGGCCCCCTGTGTACACCGACGTCCTCCTTTACTCAATATTATGTAGGCAAAATACGCAGTAATTTAACACTTAGAGCATTTCGTAGCTGAAACGGAATAAGTGGCTGAAAAAGAAAAAACAAAAAAACTCGAAAACAGATCGACGCTCAGAAGAGATCATAATTTATTCAAGGAAGAAACCTCTTAGTAATTATAACGATAAAATTGTTTGTTTTCAGATAAGATATTCTATTGCAAAGACACAGAAGTAGAATTATTTGCTCACTGCTTCATTGTGAAATCCCGCGGTATAAGCTTCGATAGGAAAGCATGTGGTAGAGGCTACAAGTTACACGTGATTCAAAACCGCGAGGAGATCAAATGGGTTTCTGGTAATGGTTTGCACATTCACGAATTCCCAAAAGTGAAGGGACAAATGATGTAAGTGAACCGTGCTTCCAAAGTGCCCTCAAAAGCGGGGACTGCGAAACGTCTATGGATAGCGTTTGATAGGGATATGGTCATTTCCAAAACTTACGATAGTCTGGTGATTTCCGTTGGCCTCTCAGTGAAGGTCGTTATTTTCGCGGAGTGGGATGTAACTGGTAACGAGCGGTTGATGGGGAGCCTTTCGAAGGGAAGATAACACAATATACAGCATAGAGTGTTCCAAAAACGGGACAAAAGTAAAACTGTGAGTTCAAAGTGGCCCTGATTTCGGGTGACAGTGAGTGATAGCAACTGCTTATAGCGTATTGGGCATCGAAAAGCAATTGTCGTTGCTGTGGTGTGTTTGTGGTACATAACGATAATGCATGATACATATCGAAAAGAAAATTATTAGCGTTGAAGAGTTGAGCGATCAGTTGACCATTTTTGCAGCGGTTTTTGGTGATCGACACAAGGAACTATGGATAGGAAATATAGGCAAGGCTGGCGTACACCTTGCACCTGTTCGAGATCCACGGCCGATGTTCAAAGGTTACGCTCAGCATAATTTTGTTTCTGTGACTTAGATGATTTGTTCCTTTTTATGGCTTCCTTTTCGTGAAATAATGTCCACTCGGGCCTTCTGTGGGA